ATTTCATCCCCGTTGGAGTCCTCAGTGCCGCGTACGGAAGCCTTAAAAAAGTATGCATATTTTTTGGCGGGAAATAGATCTTGGGAATCGCATGAGCTAAGGGGCTGAAACTTTGTGGGGATATTCCCTGTGCACATAGTAGCTAAAGATTTCAAATTTAGCCCCCAGGTATGCGTGGTACTCTCATAAGGGCGTATGGAAGTTTTAGAAGGGAAATTGCTAACTCGGGTGCCAGTAAGGCTAGAAAGCTAAAATTTTGGAATAATGTTCCCTACCCAAGTACATCTCAGATATTTCAAATTCAGCCCCAAGCTATGCATGGTACTCATGTAAGGGCGTATAAAAGTTTTAGAAAATTGCTAACTCGACAATCAGAAGAACTGGAAGGCTGAAATTTTAGGCGGACATTCCCTGCCCACGTGCAATTTAAAAATTTCAAATTCAGCTTTCCAAGCATGTAGAGTACCCAAGTGCGGGTACGTGAAGGTTTTAGTGGGAAAAATGCTAACTCGGTAACCAGAAAAGCAGGAAAGCTGAAATTTTGAGGGAGTGTTCCCTGTCCAAGTACAACTTAAGTATTTCAAATTCAGCCTTGAGGCGCGCGTGTTTCTTACGTACGGGCACTTGAAAGTCTTGACGAAAGAATTTCTCACTGAACTTTTAAAGAACGACTGTTAAATGGAAATCGTACATTTACTTTCCAAAATTTATGGTGATTTATGCTAGTGACCGCAACAGGTAGGTGTAAAGCAACACCAATTCGTACAGCTAGTGACCTGAGTAATTCAAGTCCGGTGCAAAAACGCATGATCGCACCGCCCCCGTCCCCGGTGCGTTCCAGCCTGGGTTTAAAAAGAAAAATTAATAACAATAATATCCTTCAACGGCAAAATAACGTAATATATGTTAGAGAAATAAAAAGATATTAAACCTAACTATTGTTGCAGCTACACTTCGTGAATTTCAACGAAATTTGGACGAATTGCGACGTGCTATCGATGCAAGCCGAGATGCTGCTGATGCAGAGGAGTTCAGCGAACATTTGGATGTAATGAATTTCATGACGTTTTTTTTTTTCTCCACCTATTTGTTTTTGCAACTTCTCCAGTTGCTTTAACAAATGCTACATTGCCTGGTGATCAGCCTGCTGGCGATTTTGACATTCGTTTCGCTTCATGCATGGGTTGTCGACTTAACGGTTTTTTTGACAGAAGCATTGCCAACTAGGACAGTAAAAATTTTGCGATGCACTTTTCGAATCTTGCCAATCTTGAGCTGGGACATGGTTTTTTTTTATCGATTCCGCTTTAATAAGATAGTTAATTTTCTTAAGTTTAAAAGAGGGAGAGAGAGGGGCTTTCTGAATTTGAAAAATTAAAAAAAAATTCTTTTACTACTGGCACTTTCAAATTTTTATGTTTATTACTGACGCTGTTTAATTTTTGTGGCACCTCGAATTTCTTTGCAGAATTTAGAGCGATTGTGTGAAAAAATCGATGAAACAGACAAAGAACTGGCGAAATTTGCGAAGTCTTACGAGCGGTTGGCAAAAGATGTGAGTGCTGGTAACTTCTGAAGACCAT